ATGGTAGCTTGGGGAAACTATTGCACGGGCCAAATGCCGCGGAATTGCAGTGGGAGAGGAGGTATAAAATCGCTGTGGAGGTCGCTAAGGGACTGTGCTATCTCCACCATGACTGCTCGCCTCTGATTATACACAGGGATGTCAAGTCCCACAACATCTTGTTGGACTCCAACTTGGAGGCTCATGTTGCTGATTTTGGGCTCGCTAAGTACTTTCAAGGACCTGCAGATTGCATGTCTTCCATTGCTGGTTCCTTTGGCTACATAGCCCCAGGTGCGTAACCTAATTCATCTTCAACAAATTTCAACTCAACTTATCAATGGATTGAATTTCAATCATTTTTCTTGTAAGTATCTACATTTTTTCTTTCTTATGTGATGGTGCACACAGAGTACGGTTATACGCTGAAAGTGGATGAGAAAATCGACGTGTACAGTTTCGGTGTGGTGCTGCTGGAGCTAATAACTGGGAGGAAACCAGTGATGAACTTGGAAGATGAGGACATGAACATAGTAAGTTGGGTGAGGAAGACCACATCAAAAATCCCTTATAAGCCATCTCCTGCATCACCAGCAGTACTATTGGCACTTGTAGATCCCAAGCTCAGCGGGTACCCATTGCAAGGTGTCCTAGACTTGTTCAACATAGCAATGATGTGTGTCGAGAACGACAGCTGCGCAAGACCTACAATGAGGGCAGTCGTTAACATGCTCACCAATCCTCCACCGTCTTCTCCGACCAAAGTCAACCTTTAGATATGTTGGTAGACCGACACAAAAGTGATCCTGTTTATGTTAGTGCTTTGGTATGACAATGTTGCTTATTAAATTTAGATATTTATAAAAATACCCAATCCTAGACATGTATTTATAAAAATACCCAAGCACTATTTAAACATAGAAACATACCCAAAATGAGTTTTGGGTATGTGTGTAATGATGGGTTTTGGGTATGTTTATAAATGGGTTTTGAGTGTGTGTCATGATGAGTTTTTGGTAGTTGGTGCAGCTTAAGATTCAGTGAAAGTGATCAGAATCTGTACTTGACTTGATATTCCAATTTCCAAAGCACAAGAAATATGCACAATAATAATTTCTTTTTCTTGAGTTGTTAATAGAATTAGGCAAGACACCGATATGTAAAGGACAATATTGAACAACCCTACATTTATCTTCTAGTAGAGAAATGAAAAGACGTCTTTTCGCACAGTTCTTGTTTTGTGCAATTAATTTTCTTATATAAAGATAGAGAGAGTGTTATTCCACTGGATGTCTAAGGGCTCGTTTGGTATTCTACTTGGATCTAATTTTATAAATTCAAAATCAGATTTTAAACACCCTAAACACCCTCATTTTGAGTTCATTTTTTAAGTAAAATACCAAACGGATCCTAATTTTCACGTGTGTGCACGTATCACTCATGGAACGCATTTAAGTATATTCCACAAAAAGTAGGCAGGATTCCAAAACCATTGTCCCTTTCCCTTATCTTCCGCGGTCTCGTATTTGAATCACTTGATGCTCATGATACACGACCATCCCCCGATGTGGCCAACTTTTGGTAGATGAATTGAATTCTTAAAAGTTGTTTGAATGGTGTATTAGAAAAGATAATAATATACTACTAGTGCCCAAATAGGTTAGCTAATTAAAAGCAGAATTACTTGTGATTAGCGATGGGTTTCCTTTTCTTGCTTTTACCAAACCCCTTGTCTGTTTCTTAATAGTTTCAGGTTTTATAAAGAGATCCACCTGTCCAACAATAATGCAACCTTGTGTGATTATGGACAAAACTTTATTATAATACTTTGGAAAAAGAAATGAAAAAAGATGGTTAGAAAATCAATACTTTTCCTACTCTTCTTTCTCACTCACTCACAAACAATAATCGGTTTTTTTTTTTGGTCCAAAGTTCTTCAAACCCCCAAAAAAAAAGGGAAGGAAAAACAGCGAAAACAAGAGCTGAAAGATTAAGCTAAAACTAATACAGTCTAGCACAATAAATCTTCCCCATCACAAAATCAAACAAAGTAAAAAATAAATAAAACCACCATCATCGCTAAGGGAACAGGGACTGCACCAAAATGGCCACAAAAGAGGAGAAACACTTCCTCCACACAAATCAACACCACTGCACATAGAGACCCACTCATCATCTGTCAAGGACAAAAATTTCGCAAAACACATAAATACATCAACACACACAATCATCCAAGGAAAAACAACAACCAATCACAACAACACCATGGTATATACCTGAAGATCAACACCAAGAGAGTGGAAAGTAGTGGTGCAAGCACCAGAGCTAGAATTGTAGCAAGAGCTCAAAGCACATTCCCAGGCAGACGTGAAAAAACGCATATAGAAGTAGTTGCTGTAACCCACAGGAGAAGCCAGATCCAGAATGAGGAGAAGGCAAGAAGAGG